GGATTATCAGTTGAAGAACTCTATAATTTGTGTTGCGGTTGACATAGCTCTTTGCAACATCAAGTACGTGGAGTTGTAACGGACAGGCATGTCGCAACATAACTTCTTGGTCAAATTAGCAGCTACTCTTGGCAACAATATTTTACATACTCATTCCATCTTGTATTGCTACCGGTGATGAATCTGATAGCCATGCGCACCCTTTCAATCCTCACATGTATAGCTTCTAAACCTGCTTTAATAATGAAATTGATGATGTGGCAAGCATATCTCTGGTGAAAATTTTTTCCTTCACCAAGCGGATACAATCTCTTTTCAAATAAAGAAATTATCATAGTGTTGGTAGCTACATTATCAAGCGTTAGCGCCACAACTCTCTCAATTAATAAATAATCTTGCAAAACTTTAGTAATTATAAAATAAGTAGTCTGAGCACTATGTTTAGCATATAATGGTTTAAAACCCATCAATATCTGTTGTAAACGCTAACTATGATTTAGGTAATGTATTGTGACACTCAAAAAATTTGCTTTTGATTTAGCAGCTCATATGTCTGAAGTAAGTGCAATAGATATATTCTGAAAATTTTCAAATTCTTTTTTAAGTTGATCTCTTATTTTAGTATAAAGTTTTTGTATGTCCCTTCTATTTGTACCTAAACTCTAAACTCTAAACCCTAAACCCTAAACTTATTTTGACCATTGCCTCAACGGTCAGTGGTCCGTTGGCGTTGATCGTTAAAGCAACAGTCCAATTTCTTTCCTTTTTTTTTTTGTAAAATTTTATTTTAACCCCTATATTTATTGTCAATTTCATATAAAATAAAGGGTTATGGATATTTTCCAAGGGTTTAAATGCAATTGGGGAGGGTCGCAGGTCAGGCCCTGCCCTTGGAGGAGGGACCGGTCCCTCCTTCTTGGGCCTAGTCCGAGATTAGGCCCAGGCCTTATAGGACCAATCCTAAGTTCGGTTTTTTGGGCCCAGGCCAAAATTCCCACCTCTAATATCCACCTTCGCCACCTCTCTTCTCCTTCTGTTTTTTCCTTATTCACCTTTCTTCTTTATTCTCTTCTCTATTTTGTCTTCATTTCTAATCTGAAAAATCAAAATAAAAAAAATAAAAATAAACAACAAATCTTGTTCTACACAATCAAGAAGCCAAACCAAACACCAAAAAAAAAAAAAAAAAAATATTAACTGAGTGGGACGCAGGCGGTTTCAAGTGGGAGGGAGAGGGGGAGAGAGAAAGGTAGGAGAGAGAGAGGGGAGAGAGGCTTTCGATCTGGCCAGCCTCTAGTCCATATCCCAGTGTCGGATCTTGCCTAGTGGCTGACCAAGTCAGGTCATCATGATCTGGGGCCACTTGACCAGATCTAGCCACAAATGGTTGGCACATGGTGGAGGAAGGGGAGGAGGGAGAAAGGGCAAGGAAAGGAAAGAAAGAGAGGGAGAGAAGAAGAAGAGAAAGATAAGAGAAAAGGAGAAGGAGAAGAAGATGATATGAAAAGAGAGAGGAGAGAGGGAAAAGGCGGAGAAAAGATGAGATGAAAGAGACGAGAGGTAAAAAAAAGAAAATAAAGAAAAAAAGAGATAAAATTTGGGATTTTATCAAATATAAAAAGTCAAAAATACCCTTAAGTATGAAAGAATTCAATAATATCATTCATTGAACGATTTCACTAATAGATACTTACGAAAGTGGGTAATTGTCGTTTCCAAACCTTTTGGATACTAGATTGTTTTATGGCAAACTTGGGTGGTACAAGTCATCGGCCACAAATTTAATCAAAATTAAGTGTTTTAAAAAGAGTTATGTATCTTTGGCAGGAGGGTTTTAATAATTTTCCAAAGTTCTTGGTAGCTTTAGCAAGAATTTTTTGATAACTCAATTAATTCTTAAGGATATGTATGATTTTGTTTTAAAAGACTTGGTATCCATCAATAATCATTCTTTAGGGTCTAACGTTAATACGAGCACATTTAATTCTCTTTTAGAATATCAATAATGTTTGCTTATAATTGAGTATACAAATAAACAAAATTGCACAAAATTTATATAAAATAACTACTCTGTCCTTTTTTTTTTTTTTTTGTGACTTAATTGTAAACATAACATTGCTCTTAGAATGTATTTCAGTAGGGCCTGCAAAACAATGGTGAAAGTGCCAAGAACTAGTGTCTCTCAACAAAATTCATCTGCCTAACTTTAAATTATGAGAGAGTAATGCTACACCCACAACTTTTAACAAACTTTCTCTCACAACCTCGATGTGATAGCTCACAATTGATTAACATCAATTTATTAAATGAGACCCATTGCAAACTAACCAATTGCGAACTACCACGTTGGAGTTATAAGAGAAAGTTTGTAAGAAAAAAGTTGTAAACATAGCATTTCCCATTATGAAAAATATATTATGGGAGACCATGTCAGTATATACCATATAGGGGCCGTTTGGATCGGGGGTAAATAAGATAACAGGGGTAATATTCATTTATTTTTGCAATATTCATGTGTTTGGTTTGCAAGTAATAAAATATTACGGTAATCTTTTATTGCAAATAGTGGTTACTGTTGGTAATGTGAGGGATAATCTTATTACCTTACTAAGGGGTGTTATTAAAACATTACTGAGGTAATATGATTTTTCTTCCCATTTTGCCCTTAATTAAAAACCATTTCTGACACAATTACCCTCAAATGTCTACCAAATAACAATTATCTAGCCCCCTTGCATTTGAGAAATTAGCTAAAACACCCCAACTACTAAAAAGTTTAAAAGTTTAAAAGTTAACAAAATACCCCCAACCACCCAAGACCACCGCCGATCATGACTCACCACTGCCGGCCGCCGACATCAGTCGCCATAATAGTGCACGATCGGCAAGATCTGACCGATCGTGCGCTGATAAGGCATTTTCCGGCCAGGTCTGGAGTTTCTATGGCCGTTTCACGACCAAATATATGGCTATCAAAAGACCAGATCTTTGGTCGTGAAATGGCCATAGATTTGGCCATTTCCGGCTTTGCTGGTGCACAAATGGCCATATAAGCCTAATCGTGCACCATTCTATCGACTATCGACGACTGCCGGCGGTGGTGGCTGATTGCCAACAGTGGCTTGGGGCGGGTGTGGGTGATTTTGCTACAAATTAAAGTTTTATATGGCTGTGGCGTTTTAGCAAAAATTCAAATGTAAGGGGTTACAAGAAATGATTCAAAAAATAATAATAAAAAATATTATTTTATTAATATTTTGAAAGGAGAACAATTTAGTAATCTATATAACATACCCATCCATTTACTCTCCCAACCAAACATATTATTCACCAATTTATTCAAACCAACCAAACACATTTTCTAAACATTCTCATTAATCTTCAAGGTGATTTTTCTATACCCCTATCATAAAATATTATATAATCCAAACGCCCCTATAGTGTTATACCATATTAATTTTAATGTATGTTACATAAATTCTTTAAAAATTACCAATTATATTAATTATAAAGATAGATAATGGAGAATGGAGAATGGAAGAAATGGTAATGACATGAATATATTGATTTCTGAACCAATTGCATGATACTTCCTAATATTATAGATTTTTCTTTTTTTTCATTATTTTAGTTTAATCAAAATAATGTGTATCATTGAACAGTGCATTTTGCCAAAATCTTTGACAATATTTTCAGCATCCCATGTCTCCAATTGGGGTGACACTACCAACATTGTTTGTGAACTTTCATGTTAATGCATTTTGTCATAATTTATGAAAAAAACATGAAATATAATGCACAACATTTCTTGGTAACGACAAATGATGCAACCTTTGCGTAGCAAAATCCTTAAATCTTGAGTCCTTCAAAGAATGGCTACTCAATAGGAAAAGTTAAGGAGTTTATGAAACTTTCAAGCTTTCAGGGAATAAATAATTAACTCTCCTCAATAATTTCAATTCCCCAAAATATACTGGTTCTACTTAAAAGACAGTTTAGCCATAAAATTCCATCATATCATTAATAAAACAACAAATGATATGTCTAATATATAATGCTAAACTATACTAAGACTATACAAAACTTGATAGTCTAGCATTTAACAATTTAATTAAAACATGATAAATCTGCTAGATTCTGACTATTTTTGTCCTTGTTTCATTTAGGACATTCAAGTCATGTGATTTTATGGTTAAATATGTCTTTTAACTAAAAACCTTAACATTTTGGGAATTAAAATATTAAAGATGACTATATAAGGCAATATCTTTCGTTCTAATCCAAGCCAGGAAGGGGAAATAATAAGAAAAATGTTTAACCATATCTGCAATTGGTTCTAATGATGTTCTTCCAAGAATGCAGCTTTCTTAAGAAGACGTGAGAAAGTTTTCATCATGACTCAATATGATCATCTCACCAAGGTGAGTGGTCATCAATTTGATTTCATAAGAAGATATAAATTAGAGGGAGTTACCAAACCCTTCAATCACATTCTCTCATCATTGATCAATGCTTTTTTCCAAGTCAAATCCTAGGATGGGACTTATAAATTCAGTAGCAATAGCAACTAGCAACTGCCTGCTCAAGCCAATAATCTTCAAGTTTAGAAGACAATTGCGCAACTTTAGCACAACTCGGGTTTTCTATGCCCTGGAACTAAGTGGGTTAAGAACTAATCCAATAAGCATGTTATTGACAAAATCCAATTTTTGATTTATTTCATCTGTTCCATGACTGGAACAAGGGGGAATACACGTTACAGCACAATTTTGAAATAACAAAAGCCCTGCTTACTACAATTACTAATACACATTGGGTTAGAGCAGAAGAGAAGATTAGGATCAAATGAACTCCTGAGCCAAGTTATCTAACCCATAAAACTGATAATTCTAAATGGTAAACATGAACATCCAAGAGTCAAATAGCAAGTGTTATGCACTAAATAATAAGAAAATAGCAAACACAACATCCAACTTTGCAGACAATTTAAATAAACATCATTAATCACAACAGACTCAGAAATTATCTTCATAGAATCTTCAGTTAGATATTTCTGACATTAGTTTTTACGGACCACCCCTACAAGGTTCATCATGATGTGAAACATAGATTTCGTAATTCATATCCTCAAAATCCCATTAATGACCCAACTCTACATGTTCAAGAAATAAGTCATAATTAACCCCTTACAGGTAACAAAGATACCGGGCCGAGATGCATAAGATTAAAAGATAACATAAACGCCACAAGTACCTCAAAAGATATTTTCTGTATCTATGTATATGTATGTAGATATATTATCAGCAGTTGACCAGTCCAAGGAACAATCAGGATCATTCAGTGCAAGGGTGAACGAGGAGCACGTGGCCGAACCGGAGTCTTGGAGGGGCTTACCCTGCATATAGAAAATACAATAATCCTTAAAGAAACTTAATAATAAAACTTATGGGCAAGAAAAAAAAAATTCAGCCAAAACAACCTTATTGGCAGTGATCTCAGAACAGCACCACTACAGCTAAGAGCAGCTATTGCACTTTCAGCCTGCAAGGCCAAAATTAAAATACGGAAATCATTTTTAGTTGTAGCACTGAACAGCTCAGTACGCAGATCATGCCAAGAAAATAAGACAAGTTCAAGCACAGATATTGTAATGTGGTACAAATTCTTAACATTCATTTATCATTATCTAAGAATTTAGAGATTTATTGAATTGATAATATTAAAAGTTACTTTTTGCTTAGTAATCCGTCTCCGGTTTATATCATTCTTAGGAATTCCCAATCATAACAAGGCCACGAAAAGCAGGAACCCATTTCAGTAAAACTAAAATCAACCTCACATATACTACTGGGAGGAAGCCAGGAAAAGTCATGTCCAGGGCTCAAGTCATTGGTCTTAGAGTTAAGAATATTCAAAATTATAAAAGTACAATTGCTTCAAACAGGATGCTATCTGTTGGTGGTAATTAGTAAACAAAATCAGGAGCCACCCTAGCAAAGTACAATCCTCTAAAACACAAAATGAGGAAAAAGGAGGAGAAATAGATTTACATGAAGGGAAAATCAAGTAATTTAGGGGGAAAAAAATACAGGGAAAAAGAATATAGAAAAAGCGGATATCAAGAATCTAATATCCTCTTTTGATTTTCTTAGTTTGCAACTATGATAGGCACAAAGAATGTAATAGAAAGTGAAGGAAACTACGCAACACGCAAGTCTGTTCTAAAACTAGAAGTAGAGAAAAATGTCAAAATTCATAATGATGTGTCCTATTCATCCACTATGGGCATATAAAATATATAGATGTCAAAATTCATAATGATGTGTCCTATTCATCCACTATGGGCATATAAAATATATAGAGTAACAAAGACCCTTTTACTTAGAGTGTTCCAAGTTACAATGTTGCACAATACTAGCAAAATTGTAGCACTCACCCAAGCAAAACAACCACAATAACTTATAATATTCCTAATAAGTTTCTTTTTGGACAACAGAAGTGCACACCCAAAAGTCCAAATATGTTATCCTTTTATACATGCTTTTTGTTTTTCTTTATATATATCTCTTTAGTGTGTGCACTGCATCTATAAGTAGGTCTACTTTCAAACCTACAGTTATCCTATCATAGATACCTCATGACAGATAGTGCAGGACCTAATTTGTGCAACAAATACTAGGTTCTCAACTAAAGAAGACAATGGTAAAATAGACAACAGCACTTGATAATATTAGAAGAAAACTGTGTATCACTTGCTGAGTCCTGGTTATAACTGTTCCAAATTATAAATTGCTTTTACAGAACAAGTTCCTAACCAGTAAGTAATTGGGCCCAAATCTTACAACAACCTTAGATAAATATCCGGAGAAAACTGAATATCTTAGATTTGCCGAGTCCTGACTATAACTGTTCTGAATAATAAATTGCATCTAGAGAACAAGTTCCAGACTAGTAAGCAACTGGGTCCAAATCCAACAAGTTATCCTTTTATATATGCCTCATGACAGAAAATCGACAAATGTAACTTTTGCAGCACAATACAAGAATGTGGAACACTCAACAGCCTCTAATAAATATCATATAAGCATCTTACACTTGCTGAGTCCTGATCACAACTGCTCCCACGGATCAATTGCTTTAATAGAACAAGCACTTAACTAGTTAGTACATGAGTCCAAATATTTACAACCTACGGATTGAAATTATGTTCATCAAGCAAACAAACACATCTATAACCATTTTCACAGGAAATACCATTAATTCAGTGACATACTGGGCAGGCGACCGAAAAAGAGAATGAGTCATGCAAAAGTAGATCATTGATATTCAAATAGAAAGCTAAAAGTGTGTCACTATGTATTTGTAATGTTGCCAGGCACTTTAATTGGAACCGTTCTCCATCTTCATGAAATTGATGCAACCCCACATCCAGTCAATCAGCCATCTCCTATCACAACTTGCTCTGGCATTCAAAAGCTAATGACATAAAGAGAATGGTGCAATAACTTTGTGGTAAACAAGGGTAGCAAGAATCCCAGGAAGAGTTAAAGATGGTAAGAGGTATATAAATTAATCTAACCACAGGGAACGTCAATGAATCACTATAATGCTTAATTTAAAAGCATCAAAAGTTTGAATCCCTGTTTACATATCCTCCAACTGAAACAAGCTTCCTCAACACCAAATTGAATTTGTTCCTTGGGACATAATGAAGTAACAAAAGAGCTAGACACCTGAGGAGGTGCCAACCCCCAAAAGCGTCATACTACAAAGTACTAGATTCAAACAGCAATCAATTTATGCAGTTAAGAGCAGATATAACAAAGAGCAAGTCAACAACAAACTCCTGAAACTAAGTTTAAGCAATAAGCAGTTTCCCTCAACCATCATAGAAGATTGAAACTGTTTTTCCCAAAATGAACATAACGAAAATGATTCAATGACGAAGATGCTAATGTGGACCAAAAGACCACAGTGAAGACAAAATCCTGAGGGAATACACCCTGTACAAAGACAAGCCAAAAACACTTGTCTATGACCCATAATGTACATCAATTTCACCATGGTCAGAAAAGAAATTTGCTTATACAATATCACCAATAAAATAGAAATCCTATGTAATCAAAGCTTATGCAGGTATTAGTTAGTTCAGTCAGTTGGATCTCTTGGCTTGCAGAAGAAGTCTTGGGTTCAGATCCGGTAACACTAGAATTTGGAAGTTTGGTTTATATTTGAAAGTTTTGAAAAGAAAAGGGAAAAAAATTGTAAATCCCAAAGTGATTGATAGGAACCCACTTCAACAACTCAACAATTGGGCTGGGCCATGGGTCTTTCAAGGGCTTGAGTAGAACTCTCCTTGGAAAACCGGCTTGCTAAGGGAGGGTGCCCAAGCCCTTTATAACCCACATGCCCACCCTTTTCCCTTTCAATGTGGGATCCTCACATTCCGCCACGCTTCAGTAACTGATGTCCACGTCAGCCTCTTTACCCCCGTTGGCCTCTTTACCCCTTGGGTGACTACACGGATTCCCTTTCCCTCGAGCCTCCACGCCCTTTCTCGAGGTAGCAACCCAAGCCCAAGGTCAGCCTGCCACATAGGCGACGTCTACATGGGCGTAGGATCATACTCTAATACCATTTGATACGAACCCACTCCAACAACTCAACAATTGGGCTGGGCCATGGGTCTTTCATGGGCTTGGGTAGAACTCTCCTTGGAAAACCGGCTTGCCAAGGAAGGATGCCCAAGCCTTTTATAACCCACATGTCCACCCTTTTCCCTTCTAATGTGGGATCCTAACAGTGATGCACAAGGCGAATTCTATCTCACAAAATTCTGAGAATATAAAAGCTATTGAGCTAACATTAAAACATCTAATGCCAAACAGGAAGATTATTACAATCTCAGTCAAGTTCCTAGCTTTTGTACTTCTTAACCTTTCATGTTCCTAGTCTTCTAGCCTTAAAGGTCACGCATTTGACAACTTCACATGCCTTGTCTAGCTCTGAAACTGACAATCTGGCTTTTGCCCACCAGCAAAAAGCATTGATTCCCTACCCTAAACTTCAAGCTAAGAAGTTCATTTTTTTTATTTTAATTTTTTTAACAAGAAACCTCAAAAGTTCAATTGCTAACCTGATTAGTAATCATCACACATATGAAAATATCTCCATAGAATTTCCACAGACTCAACTGAGATGAGAGTTGAAAAAAAAAATGATGAAGACACCAAACAAATAAAATTCAAGTAAATGAGGATCTGAGAGGGAGACTGTCAAAGAACATATATTTGGCTCACTAACAATTGTTGGACCCACCAAAACAATAACGATGAATGCATATTTCCACAAATAACCATTGAAAACCAGTATATTGAGGGGGAAAAAAAGATCGTAGTGGTAACCATTTCAGAAAAAGTAATTTAGCCCCCGAAAAAGTATGAAGAATTTGAAGTACATAAGAATTGAACCAGTTCTCACAACAAAAGAATTAAAATAATAATAATAATAATAATAATAATCAAACCTGAAACCACTTATTTAAATGCAAAGTCACTCCACACAAAACCAAAAGCATATTTTCATAAATAACCATTGAAAAGCAGTAATATAAGGGAAAAGAAGACTGATAATTGTTGTAGTAACAATGATCACAAATGATCTAACCCTAGAAAAAAGTTTGAATAATTCTCAAGAACTTAATAATTGAACCAGTTCTTAACAGAAAAAGGGAAAAGGGAAAGAAAGAAAAAGTACAATAACAATCAAACCCAAAATCACTTATTTAAGGGCAAGGTCACTCAAAACTAAACCAAAAGCCATCCACACTATACCTAAAACAGAGTGAAAAAGAAAAAAGAAAAAATCAATAGCTATTCTATCAAATACTATTGTTAAGAGCAGAATCATTTGGTGCCACCTCAACAATTGAAGGCAGATTACTACCACTTTCACCATAGGATTCCCATTTCCTTGGAACACTTCTATAGCAGATGCTAAACCTCCTTCTGCATAATTGTATAAGGTTTGACATACCCAACAAAAGAAGGCATTTTCCCTTCTTTCCCCCTTCCCCTCCTATGTCTCTCTCACTCTCTCACTCTCTCTCTCTCTCTCTCTCTCTCTCGGTAACAACTCTGACATCAGCCATTTAGAAATGAAATTAGTATTTTCTCCAATAATTGTAATTTCACATGTTCTCATAGCCTAGAAGGCCACTCACCACACAGTGCATCCACCTCTATAGTACAAAATAATTACTATACAGTTGTGACGTTGAGTGCCTGCCTAGAATGTTATGAGAAAATAAAACTAATAGTAATACTAAGATGATCAATGAACAGTAATGCCACAAATGTTTGCATGCAAGAATTTAAAAACTTTAGCATCCAGAGAACAGCAGCTCAAAGTTATTACCATTGCGAACTCAACAAATGCAATACGAGTTGAATGCTGATAATCTCCAAGTAGCCTCAAGCGTTGAACCTACCAAGAAATATGTCCCATAAGAAATTAGTTTAAGGAAAAGCAACACTAACAAGTTTGTTAAAGAAGCAAGTACAAACCTCCCCACAAACTGATTCAAAAAAGAGTTTGAGATCAGCTTGAGTAACCTACATCAATTGAACAAACAAGTCACCAGATGTGCCGGTGCACCTAATCAACTAGTAAAATAATCAGCAACAATAGAGCTTACCTTCTTGTCGATATTGGTACAATATATAGTTCTTGAGCACATCTCACGTTCATCAGCAGACTGAAAACCACAATAACAATATCATGCCAATTAATGAAGAAAATTCTAAACAGCACAACCAGTTGACCTCATAAAATTATAAGACTTAAAAAACGATGCAGACCTTTTGATAAACAAGGTAGGATAGAGAACAAAAGGCAATAAGGGAGAAGAAAAAAAGAGAACGAGAACAAAGTTTTTTCAAATATTCCACAATTTTATCCATTCTCCATATTTTTCCTTGTCACAGTATAGAGCTTTAATAGAATTTCCAAAACTTTGAGAAGAAGAAAATGATCACTTAAGATACTAAATCTTCCTAATCTGGTAGAGTACCAAGAAACCTAAACCTCTACTTAAAATATTAATAAGATAATGAGCAAAATTAAGATATTAAAGTAATCTTCATAATATAACACTAACATGACAGAGTTTATTTCAACAAATCTACGGGCTTGATCAATTGGTAGCAAAACTCACATCTAATGGTCTTCTCAAATTACGAGATGGGTCTGCTTAATTGCATCAAAATACAAATTAAGAAGTTCATCATAGTGCGCTAGATAATCATAACAGTAGGTCTCACCCTTGGCAAAAATGTTGGGTTAACAGGTGCAATTGCAGTTTTCGAAGGCAGCACTCTAACTGGATAGTATCCAAGCATAGTCCCAGCCAAACTCAACGCAACCCTCGCACCCTCTGCAAGTACGCATTTTGTTGGCATTTGAGTATGAGAATACATATCTATCAATATACACAACAGAAGCTTGCAATGATACCTTCATCAGTGAACTCAATGAAGGCAAAACGAAGAACAGAGTTAGGATCACCACATATACGACAATCAACAACCTTTGGCCCAACAAGACAGGAACAAATGGAACATAAGCTGCTGTTATCAAACAATAAAGAGAGAATATAAGAGCAAAATAAAAGACATGAAACCTGTCCACAAGTTTGAAAGAGCACTGCAAGCTGCTCTTCAGTAACCTAACATACAAAACAGAAAAAAAAAAAAAAAAAAAAAAACCTATTATTCAAAGCAATGTAAAATTCAGAGTATAAAGCCATAATTTGATAAAAATCTAAAGTTGTTTACCTGTGATCAATATCAGATACATACACAGTCCTCCTAATTACCTCATCTGCTGCGCATTGCTTGTTCTACTATTCATCCTTCTTCTCCCTTGACTATAACCATTTCTTTCTGAAACCAAACCACATAATCAGATGAAAAATAAAACTAAATAAACAATGAGTTGTTTTGAAGAGAAACATACCCTTCTAGTAGTCTGTCCAGTGGCATTCGGAGAATTAGTTTGCATAACAAAATTGTTAGTATATCCAAAGCCATTACCACCCAGAAAGACATGATTAAGATTGTAGTTAAGAGAAGGAGGCACAAATTCCTGAGCCATAGGATTCAACTTTGACAACATCTCCACCAAATCTCTCATTTCATCCTTGAGAGTTTCACCGTACTTCGAATCGCCGTCGTTTTTGGATTCTTTGGGTTTTGAATCAGATGAAACCACAGTTTCACCCAAATTTTGACTGGATGAACCAATTTTAGCCCCAGCATTCTCAGCCACCGCCATGATCAAATAATTTTGTAATCAAAAATTGATTTTGAAAAGAAGGATCTGATGATGATATAATGACGATCTGTATTGAAAAAAAGAAATAAATTAAATCAAATTAAAATCTAAGTTTTGAGAAAATAAATATATATATATATATTATATATACAGAAACTTACAGTAATGGAAGAAAATTTAAACAAACCTGAGTTATCTAAAAGGTTTCCATAGGATAAGAAGAAAAGAGAAAGAAGAAAACCAAAAGCCAGCTCACTCTGCTCTGCAAAATAAAATGGGTTTGGGTGAAACAGAATACAGGTTTTTTTTTTTCCCTTCTTCCTTTTAATTTATATTTTATTTGCGTATAAATAAATAAATAAAAAAGATGATAAAAGAGTAGAGCGAGGGGTGTGTTTGTTTGTTTTGTTTTTGTGTTTCGGGATCGTCCGTTAGTGGCAGCACTGCCTTTTTGGACCTTCTTCACAACCTCCCGAAATTTGATGATGCCATCATATGATATAATTTAAAAATCCAATTTAAGACATTCACATTTAAAATTAAACTTCTTAGTTATTTACTTATTTAGATTCAAAAGCGTCCGATTTTTACCTAATTTTTAACAATAATGTTACATATAAAAACTTCATATGAATTTTTTTATATAAATTAATGTGGCACAAAATAATTAAATGAATTTGTATAAAATAGTTAATACTATAATTATTCAATTAATATAAATAAATGATGTATCAATATAAAAGTTATATCACATCATATTGTTTACACTTAATTTGTACAAGTAGTATAATTCAAATTTTAAATAATCATTTTTCTGTTATCATATTTTAATTAAAAAACAGAATATGTATTTGTTTACTTATTGGGATCATTATTCTGAAAATTAATTTGAATCTAATAAGATTTTTTCTATTGAAAATGAAAAGAGGAGGGACTTGTTTTATATTATCCTATTTTATTCAACTCAAAACATTTAAATTATTTTTTGTCACCTACATTTGTTAATTTAGCTGAACACCCCTATAATAAAAGTTTAAAAATTAACTAAAACACCCCAGCTTGCAACCACCGCCGGCCTCCGTCACTGTCGGAACGACTAGCCGATGGTGGGTCGATCTTGCCGTTTTTGGCCAAATCTACAATTAGATCTATCTAGCCGTTGACAACGACCAAATGATTATAGCTAGTGGATTTGGTCGGAAAATGCTAGATCGGCGCACGATCGACCAGATTCAGTCGATTGTGCGCCTTTTAACGACTGCCCGCTGACGTCCGGCGGTGGTGGCCGACGGCTGACAGTGGCTTAAGTGGGTGGGAGTGCTTTTATTAATTTTTAAACTTTTATTGTAGGAGTGTTTAGCTAAATTAACAAATTAAGGGGGTTAAAAAATAATTTGAATATTTTCAGAAAATATTTTTCAAAAATGTACCAAACAACTTTTCAGTATTTTATCCAACTCTGATATAATTTTTAGATATTATACCAAATACATTCTCAGCATCCTATCTGTTGATACAAGATTTGCACCAACTAGAGCAATCTGATTAACCTTGATGGAATCGGAACCGATGTATGCGTATTTACAGATAACTAGCAATGTAATGAATTAAAAACAATAAAGTAAAATGACACAAAGAGTTTTTAAAGTAGTTTGGCAATTTAAGATCTTAATTCTACGTCTATTGTTTTTGTATTTGATGTGAGAGCTTACAATAGTAATCCTAAAACAATTTGCTAACCCCTTTCTCATCGTTGGAGAGGGTTTATATACAGATTTTGTACAAAAGAAATAGCGAAAATAAAGGGATTATAATTAAAATTGAAATGTAACTCCGATATTCTCGCGATTGAGCGTTAAGATTGCGCCAAGATTGTTGTTGATCTAATACCTTCCGAGATATCTGGGATCTAAAGTCATCTGTGAGTTGGTTGAACAACTGTAGGGATTGGTCGCAACTAGCTTATGTCAGATCAAGCTAAATCTCGACGAGCTTATGCTAGGTCGAACAATCAATTGAGTCGAACTAATTCTAGATCGAGCTATAACCTCGCAATTCTCCGAGCTTGATAGAAAAACCACACACAACACAATACAATCCTATTCGATTTAATCTAACTCAACTCAACTTAAAATAGTAATTTACCAAACATGCCCTTAATAACTCGAAAATTATATTCCAATATACGTAAAAATAAGTAACTCACTTAATCATGGATCATAATATTAGTATCATATTTATTATAAATGTTAAAATGGATTATATATCAATTGACATAATGGTATATTATATGCTTCAATATGATATGTATTAAAGAATTAATTTTTATAACAATCTAATATTAATATGAATTATGTGCAAACTAAGCACAACATAATTTAATGTTATCATTTATATTAGATATGTGACAAAAATGATATGTTTGACATCTCTAATATTTATTTGTAAATTGGTAAGAATAATATTACAAAAGATATGGTTGAGATTTCCATTTTTAATGGTCATTTTGATATGGTACCACCAAGTAACAACCAATATTTGTACAAGCTAGTTATATTGAATGCGTGATATATCATATATGTTTGATACTTTGATACAATATATTTACAAATCGTCATTTAAAAACTACTTATTTTTGGTCAATTCATCCTTATCTAAGTTACGAAAAACAGTAAATTAATATATAGAAATAATTGTAAAGACTTTTATTACATGTAACTCGATCATTAACATCATAAAGATGCATGTGCAATTTCTACATACATAAAACTATGCACCTAGTTTAAAAAAAAAAAAAAAAAAAAAACACAATCATTAAATGAGATATATTCTTTCTATTGACACCAAAATACTCAAAGCTTAGCTTACGAAGAAAATTACCTAAAAGACTTGTTAAATTTGACCCCTTTTTCAAGAGTTTACAATAAAAGACCTTTCATCATTTTTTTTTTTTTTTTTTTTTTTTTTATCTCCCTCACGGAATCACTAAATTACCATGATAGTTGAGTTGTAGCAATTGTTCTAAGTAGAAAACCATTTTATTTGATTAAAATTAGTGGCGGACCCACGATTTTATGTAAAAGGGGAAACTGCAATAACCTTAATACTGTATTTAAATAATTTTACATATATGATAATTATTCTTTTATCAATATTATTGTTAATGGCCATTTTGTCGAGGGGGCTCAATACTGCAATCAAGGGCCAAGTCAGGTAAAAAGTCACAAATTAAGCTTCAAAGCTTCACTTTAGCCTTAAATTACTACTTATTGGGATCTTAAATCAAGACCATGACATTTTAGAAATATAAGCTTATGACATCCTCACAAATAAGCCCATAGTATTCTCTCACTAGATGGCACGCCCGCGCATTAAGCAGGTTTATTTATTAAATTATTTTTATTTTATTATTGAATTTTTATATTTTAAGAAATCGTAAACGATTATTGTTTCACAAAAAAAATGTCAAATATTAATTATAATAGAATATTTTGTTATTATTATTATTATTTTTTTATCGGGTTTTTTATGTTTAAAGAAATTTTCTTTGGAAAGTTTTCGGTTCGATTAAAGTAGAGTATCTTCTGGCATAATGAGAGAGTTGCTATCTTTTATTCATAAGAAAAATACATAAAGTTTAGTTATAAATTGAAGACTGTAATAACAATTGTAATGGCGAGAGAAATTGTTTCAACATCAGATGGTCCGCCTGAACTAGAAGGTATTCTACAAAACCTTAAAGTCACGCTAGACAAATTCAACACTACCAGAGTGATGAACATAGATATTATGAATGCTTTGTTAGAAATAACAGGCTCAACCATGCATGTAATATTCGATTTACGGAAACGTGAATCCTGATTATTGCCAAAGAAAAGGAACTTGGTATTCCTCAAGGAAATAAATAGAACTATATCTGATGTTGTTGCTTGAACTGCTAAAAATTAAACAATGGACATGTAAAAGTAGATGTGTAGAAGGAATATAAGAGTAATCAGTTGATGTTATTTACCGCACGCTTCTGTTTGTTTGGATTTTGGATTAACAATAGTTGGTCTTTCGTCTTCCATTTGTTAATGATATCTGTGTGAAAAAAAATAAATATTTGAAGGTGTATGGATTGTTGAATTGTCTATTCTTATATAACTTTAGATGTCACTGAATGACGTTTCGTATGAACGATTGCGAACAGACATTAGTAATTTTTCAAAATAAAAGAGGAATGTGAAAGATCTCAAATTAAAAGATGAATGTGAAAGATCTGTATTGAATATATTAATTGAATGCATGTGAATAATCCCTATTATAACAATCTCTTAATATTCATGGAAATCAATAACACACACATGAATCATTAGTAATTTTTCAAATTAAAAGAGGAATGTGAAAGATCTCAAATTAAAAGAGGAATGTGTAAGATCTATATTGAATACATTAATTGAATAAATGTGAATAATCCTTATTATAGCAATCTCTTAATATTCAGGGAAAACAATAACACACACGTGAATCATTAGTAATTTATCAAATTAAAAGAGGAATGTGAAATCTCAAATTGAAAATTGAATACATTCGTC